AAACCTCATGAAAATCATTCAATTCCAGCATTTAAAAAAGAAAAGAAAAAAGGTTCTTAGATCCCCAAAATGATGTGCCAACAAGGGCCCTCTAAAACAAAAGATATAACCGGGGACCCCTTAGAGTCAGAAACTCTGACTATTGGACTTTAACCAGTATAAAAACTCTCCTCAAGCTGAATGGGGCTTTAGGAATCTGTTCAGCAAGAATAATAGTAATGCTTGTCTTAGCAAACACCACAAATTAAATGAAGGTTAATGCAATGTTATTTACATATTAAGCAGATTATGATCATCTCAATAATTCCATGATATTACATACATTCTTATAAAATCACAACATTTTACAGCAAAAACAAAACAAAACAAAAAACTACAGTTCAGCTCTTGTACTGCAAAACTATAGAGAGAATACTTCTCCAAGTTCAGAAGATTTGAGTCTGTACTTTGAAGAAAACTGCTGAGGCATGCAACCTCCAAAATTAATAACAGCAATCTACTAGGTCATTGCAGTATTTTTAAATACTAAAGAAAATGAGTGAAACCACAACTAACAAACCAAAAATAACAAACGTGGGGCAAAGGAGACAGCTTTACCCTTTTTTAGCTTTACCCTTTGCTTTTCCCTGTACCTTGCTGAATTATGAAAAGGTTACTGCACCGCAGGACATCTCTGTCCAGAGCTCAGGTCTAAAGGTCATTTTGTAATGCTCCCACCGATTAGCTGTCAATTTAAACACAAATAATCATAAAGGGTAAGCATTCAAAACAACTGGAAAAAAGCAAAAGCATGGATGAGATCACTTAATGCACATTAAATGTTAAAATACAACCTGTTGCCAAAGTTACCCTGCCAGGCTTATTTATCTTATGAACATTAGTTTAAATTCAACCTTTTGCTAAAGAATAGCAAAACTTGCTAGTTTTTCCATAAAGAAAGGTCATCTTTATAGTGGCAAAAACAGCCTGTTTGACAAAGCTAGTTTGTTGTCAGCCAGTGTCACAATACGCTGGAGCACAGGCACTTTTAATGATCCAATAGGGAGATACAGAGCACAAGGATGACATTCACAACAATAGACCCGACCGAGGAGAAATGCACAGACAAGAACTTATAAACACAGGACAATTACCAAACACAGGTGCACAGAATGACTAATTAACTAAACGAGGACAGGAACATGACCAAATAAGGGAACACAGGAACAGAAACAGGGGCAAAACATAACAAAACAGGTCCATGATCCTGACATATCACCCCCCAAACTTGGGAGGCGGCTCAGGAAGAGGACGGACACCCGGGAGGGGGCCGGCACACAGAGACCAGGAGGAACTTGAAGCAGGAGGAACCAAGCAGGACCCAGGCCACAGCCATAAAGGCGACCCACGGTGGAGCCGACGGAGGGAGGAGCCATGGAGGAGGAATGGCCGTCGACTCCAGGGGGCCGACCAATGGCGGCAGAGCAGGTGGCGGAGGAGCCCGAGGCGGAGACGGAGAGCCAACGTGCCAGGGGGATGCCGAGGATCCGGGGGGCCAGGGTGGAGCCGAGGGCTCTCGCGACCGAGGCGGTGGCAGACATCCGGAGATCCGCAGTGGAGCCGGAGCGACTGAGGACCAAGGTGGTGCTGGCGGGAGGAGGGAGCCCAATGGAGCAGGTGGGACGGAGCGACGAGGTGCAGCGATGCCCGACCAAGGTGGAGCCGGAGGGACGAGGGAGCCCGGTGGAGCTGGTGTATCGATGGGTGATGGTGGAGGTGAGGCAGCTAGGAGCCGAGGTGGAGCTGCTGGGTCTACGGGCCTAGGCGGAGTTCGGGCCTCGGAGGCTGGAGGCGGAGGTGAGGGATGCTCCAGCCATGGCGACGATGGAGGATGGCAGACCCGCGGCGCTTGCAACGTATTGATGGTGAGGGCGAGCAGAGGGGCTGCCAGACAACAGCGGTGGAGGAGGCAGGAGCGGGCGGGTGGGTGTTCATTCGTGAGCTTCCGGGCTCTCAGGGCTGCCCTTGGGGATCAGAGCCCACTCCTGGCTGGACTTGGAAACCGGAGCCACCTCAGGGCTGGACGGGACCAGCGGGGACAAAGGAGAGAGGAGAGGGGGCAAGTTGACCTCTAGATCTGTTTCCCAGTCTATCAAGTCCCCTTCTAAGTCCAGCAGTCCCAGATGTATAATTAGCTCACCCTCAGCCGCGGTGCAGTGGGCGGAGCTCCACTCTGTGCTCTCACCGTCCACGGCTTGCTCCCCTCATGGTGGGCACTGTCACCGGCTCTCGCACCTGGTCTGACGCGTGGGGCTCCAAATCCGGGGCTTGGCATTGCGCTGGCTCGTTGATTGCGGCGGTAATGGGCTCTCCGTCATCGGTGGGCTCAGGCTGATGCGTCGCACCGCGGGGAGATGGTGGGCTGGATATTGGGTCTGGAGCGGATCAGGGCAGGTGGTGGATGGCGATCTGTTTCTCGCCAGAATCCATTCCACGAAGGCGGCAAAATCCTCTCGAGGACCATCTTCGGACGACGGCACTCTGCTCGCAGTGTTCAAGCTTGCGTCATAGAATGAGCAGAGCGCGTCTTCCGGGTAGCTGGTGATGCTAGCTAACAGCCGGAACAGTCTCGTATGGTCCTCGAGAGATCTGTCCCCCTGCTCCAGCAGGAGGAGGTGGAATTCCGGGCGGGTGAAGGGATCCATAAGGGGAAACACAACGGAAACAAAAACACTGTGAAAAAAACGGAGGGTAGACACACGGAGGTAACTGTATTCGGTCGGGTCTTCTGTCACAATACGCTGGAGCAGGGGCATGAGGAAGCAAGGAGATGTGGAGATTTCACAGAACGAGAGTATTTTAATGATCCAAAGGGGAGATACAAAGCACAAGGCTGACGTTCACAACAAGTAGACCCGATCAAGGAGAAATGCACAGAAAAGAACTTATAAACACAGGACAATTACCAAAAACAGGTGCACAGAATGACTAATTAACTAAACGAGGACAGGACCAAATAAGGGAATACAGGAACAGAAACGGGCAAAACATAACAAAACAGGTTCATGATCCTGACAGCCAGGTCTGATTTGAGAGTTTTATTCAGGGGGTTTTGTTCAGTCAGGGAGATTTAAACCAGTTTAAACCAACTAAGAGCTTTCTACAAGGACTTAAAAAAAATAATATGAGCTTTTTGTTGTTACAATATAAAAAAATTAATTTACATCAAATTACATACGAAACATTTTCAAAATTTAAAGCAAGTCTTATTTTTTTTTTGGAAATGTTTAATTACTTTATGTAACAGCCACAGATTTCCTAATTCAGTTCTCATTCAGAAACTCCCGATTCAGTTAAATTCTGATTTGATTTAAATTAATTAATGTCAGAATATATCATGTTATAATGTCACCAGTCTTTCAATCACATAATCACCTAAGAATGCAATGAAACACATTCTAGGTTAACTTTTACAATGGTTTTTAGAATTGCAATTTTCAAACTTATGTTTTGTTCTATAATATGAGTCCAAACTTAGCTTTCCGACTGAACTGCAGGAATTTTTTTATGTAACCATGGATACATTCTTTAACAGGTTCAGAATATGTATGTAATGCAGACGCATGAATCATTCGAACTCATACAGTATTTCTATTTTTGCCTAAAATCTTTAATATTCCTTTTGAACCTTTTTTGATTAACACTGTGCATTCAGCAGAACTGTTTACACACAGTAAAGTGTCCCTTGCTGACTATAAAGGTCAATGAATGTGAGGTCTCACATAATTTCTAGTTTGTTAAGCAGCATTATCATCTTCTGAAAAAGAGAATCGTGTGCAAAAGTGTCTGTTTGGACTTAACAATAATTTCAGGCAAAGAGTGAATCCCAATTGAGAGCTATGAAATATTCAAAGCAACCTACTACTGCAGTGTCTGTGGCTGGAGATAAACTCGCCAAATATGGGCTGTGAACACACAAGCAAGCCCAGAGGCTCTTCTGTCATCGCCATTAATAAAACATTAGCCTAGAAGGCACACTTTCTGTGTGAAGTAGGCTCACCTGTGTCACCTATGAATCCAGGTCTGTCCGCAGGTCTATTCAAATTAGGCAAAATGCGTGTATAGGGGAGGTTTGGAATTGGAAACGAAGTGCAGAAATGAGTGCCAGAAATGAAGCATTGAAAACCTGATGTGTGGGGGTGAAACTTGAGTGTGTGTCCCATTTCAGCAAGCTTTAATTCAGGCCTGGAAGTCATTACTTCCCCGAAGAAAATGTATTGAAACAAAATAAGTCATTGTTTTTACAGGGAGCTAAAACCTCTAGGAACTGCGTCCCTTATGGTGCAGCTAAAAAACTTGGTTACACTTTACTTGAAGGGGTGTGCATAAGACTGACATGACACCTTCATAATCATGACATGACACCTACATAATCATGGCATAACACATGTCATGAATATGAAGGGTTTTTATGCATGTTTATGACAACTGTCATTAAGTGTCATTCACTCAGTTATGTAATTTTTAATGCAAAGATGACATTGTTTGAGATGTCTTTGTTATGGGCTATGGTTAGAGGTAAGGGTAGGGGTAGGGTTAGGTTAGGGTTAGGTCAAATAATGTCATATTTACATTAAAAATGACATAACTGAGCGAATGACACTTAATGACAGTTGTCATAAACATGCATAAAACCTCCTTCATATTCATGACATGTGTCATGTCATGATTATGAAGGTGCCATGTCAGTCTTATGCACACCCCTTCAAGTAAAGTGTTACCAAAAACTTAATTAGCTATCAAATGAAAAACATTTAGCTAACATGTTCTTCAAAGACTTTGGTTTCAGGTCAATTTAATGTAACAGTGAATTCTGTAGTACAAGCAGCTGGCATAAATGAACATTTGTCTTCATCAATCAGTCAGGCTTGTTGGCATATTGACAGCTGACATTGCAGGAACATCAACTCTATTCCCTTACCCTTTCTCCTGTTAAATGCCCATCAACTCTATTCCCTTACCCTTTCTCCTGTTAAATGCCCTGTTCATTCTGGAGAGTTTGACAAGCGCTTGTAAGCTGAGGAAGGACTCCAATGAGAAGCCACCTGAAGAAAAAACACAGAGAAATAGATTGATTGTGAAAAAGCAGTACTAATCTGATGAAATGTTCTTGACAAATGGTTTTTGATTTAGTCAGTAACAAAAGTAAAAAAAGACATATAGTCTATATTTACAATAAATATTACACTTTAAGGTAATACTTTAGATTAGGTAACACTATTAACTAGTTGCTTTCTAGCATGCATATTACTAGCATATTGCCTGTTTATTAGTACTTATAAAGCACATATTAATGCCTTATTCTGCATGACCATAGGTCCCTTAACCCTACCCCATACCTAAACAACTACCTTAATTACTATCAATAAGAAGCAAATTAAGGGTTTATTGTGGGAAAACTCTTAACAGTTAAAAGTGAATATGTGTTCCCTAATCTAAAGTGTTACCCAATTTAAATCCGCACAGACAATGAAAAATTCAGAGGGGAACATGAACAAAGTTATGTAGCACTATTATTTTAGTAAATTTTACTTTGACTGCAACAAACCTGGATAACATGTCAAGCTTTTGTTTAGAATAAATAATAAATCATAATTAAACAATAATAAATTATATGCCAGCAACACTGCAAACCTGCAGCTTTAAGTTTGTGTTCTTTGAATTCACCCAAGAGGTCCATCTGTGATGTTTACTGCAGATCCATTATTAGTCGTCATACAAATTCACAGGTCAGAGTTCAACAAACTTTAACTTTTTTTACATTGCAGAATGCAACACTTATCCACACAAGCTTGCGGTTTATGTCTCCAGTGTTTGCATGCATAATGAAAGTTAATAGAGGGAACAGTTTACTGTGATCACGGCTTTACACTGTGAGTAAGTACACACAAATACAGGCAAACGATTACCAATTTAAAAGTTAATCACAAGTGAAGAACTTAGTGCCCCTTGGTGACTATGGCAGAACTATGTCCTGTGGAGGTTGTAGATTCAAGCCCAGGTGATCCAGCAATTAATGAGTTACTGAGATTATAAACCTGCAATTTTATTTGCACCCTAGAGCAAGACACTTAACTGCAGGGAGAGTTTGCTACAACTAGACCCTCCTAGCCAATTAGTGCAGTATACTGTGTGTGCCATGTTTGGCTCGATCGCTCAATGACAGGAGCAGGAGTCAAGTGGCTTCTATGAAACCCTGAACAACAGGGAAACACATCAGTTCCTTTTATCAAAGTGAAAGCTATGCTCTCTATCTAAACTGCAGGGCAAAAGACCCTTAGCTCAAAATACTTCATCTTGCGCCAGCACTTCAGCCCGTCAATCAAAAATCATCCTCAGAGAAGGGAATGGAAGAATGAGAAAATAACGGAAATAGAATGTGGGGAAGAGAGAGGGCCAATTTGACAGCTTGCATTCAGGAAAGTGGCTAAGCCTGAGTTTTCTGCTTGAAGTGATGCTTAATCTTTCAGTTCTGACAGTCTTCCATTTAGGGTGAAAGTGAAAAAATTATGTGATCTTAGAAAAAATGAGAGGGAAGAGCAACATGCTAATAATATGCATGAAGTGATACATTAAAGAGGCCACTCATGCATTTAAGGAATGATTAGTTTAATGAGACACAAGGATGTAAGGCCCCTTGACTGACCATGACAGCCTATGTCTTAAAATGACACATAAAATCTCATAACTTTGACACGAGGCAGAGAGGACGTGAAGCATGGTAACCTTTCCAAGTTCAGAGGTTTAAAGGCAACACATTAAAAAAAGAGAAACTCCAAAATGAATGGCCTTAATTATTTAGGGTGCTTTTACACTTGGTTTGATTGCCTGGTCCGAACCAGTTAACCTTTCACATTATCCAAACGAATCGAACTGTGACACCAAACAAACCTGGGTGCGCACCACTGTGAAAGCCCCCGTATTTATTTTATGTCTATAGAGAAAACTCTTCAGAACTCATTTTATATTTTACATACATTTTATATAAATGTGTAAGATATCTCTCTCTAAGTCAGGGGTGTCCAGTCCTGTTCCTGGAGGGTGTAGCTCCAGCCCTAATTTAACACACCTGAACCAGCTAATCAAGGTCTTCAGGCAGAGCCCCTTTAAAAGCAAGCCTGCAAGGTTAGTAAAAAATAAATAAAAATAGGCACAACACTGCAGTGCACTGGTGAGGAGACGAGGATGAGAGTTTAAACTGAAATCTCTAATTTTTGATTGTCAAATCTGGGCACACTTGATAAAATCATTGTTGAGATGTGAAACACCAGCAGATATGAGAGAGAAATTAGTCTGTATAAAAACATTTGATGTAAGACAAAGTGACATCTAGAAAAATTAATTTTCTTTAAAATAAATGGCACTTTAAGCAAACAAATGCTGTTTCTCTGGAAAATAGATATTTTAATCAAAATTATGATGACAAAATAAAACAAAATTAAAATCGTTCACAATAAAATAAAAAAGATGCACTTTGTAAAAATAAATATGGTGAATTTTACTTTCATGCCTAATTTAAATGTTAGGATTAATGTTTGAAAAGCCGTGAGCCTACACACAAACAATGGAACTTACCATTAAAGATTATTCAGTCCATTCACCACAGTATTTTTAGCAAGTGTACCAGACTTACACAAGATATATATAAAATAATTCAGGAGAAATCCATTTCTTCAGCAAAGGAGAATTAGCTTTCTTTACAAGACCTTAACACTCAATTCAAGCCCTTTAAAATGTACTTTTATATCCGATGTTATACGAGTGTCTCAGCCAAGTGTTACACTAGCTTTTTGACAAATTGGAAATATGTGTTATCAATGAAGGATAAGGCTTTAAGATGATTTTATATATTTACAAATGATGTGACAAATGTAAAAATAATGGTTTTAATTATAGTCCTTATGCAGAGACTTACAGCTCAGTGGACTGAAACTGAAAAACACTCTTGACAAAGTCATTTAAAGTTGAGGTGTGAAACGAGAGATGGGTAACGGGGAGCACAAGAAGCAATCTCATTCCAATCATCTTCCATTTCAGGATACTGTAAGGTAAACAAGTCAATAATAATTTATCTCAAAGGGAATCATTTAAGATTTTAAAGGGAACTCCACCATTGATATGCAAGGGAATTAGGACAGAATCACTGTTTTACGGCTGATCACTGAGACGGCCTGCGATTCAGTGAGATGGGTAACGGGGAGCACAAGAAGCAATCTCATTCCAATCATCTTCCATTTCAGGATACACATCAAATCACATTTAGCTGCAGATTTTAAATGGGGCTGGAAATAAGTGTAGTGATTTCCAAGGACCAAAGTGAAATGGTGTGCACACATAAATGCACATGCCACTAACTGACAGGGATCAGATCTTGACCGGGAGAGCCTGATGTCTTGAATCTTCATGGAGTTTTAATGGGGTGCACTTGTTCAGTCTTTTCATACATTATATGCTGATTATTCGTAATCTCTGCAGGGATGGTACGCTTGCAAATGGATGATGGCTTGTATATGACGGAAGCTAAATTACTATTAACTTGCAACACCCCAGGCAAACCCCAAACTCTGCCTGTGTGTGATGAATAGACATACAGTACAGTTCTGTCTATTAAAGAATGAATGGGGCCATGTATCGTGAGATTTTGAGTGTAAACCTCCTTCCATCAGCAAGGGCATTGAAGATGAAACGTGGCTGGGTCTTTGAGCATGACAATGATCCCAAACACACCGCCTGGGCAACGAAGGAGTGGCTTCGTAAGAAGTATTTCAAGGTCCTGGAGTGGCCTAGCCAGTCTCTAGATCTCAACCCCATAGAAAATCTTTGGAGGGAGTTGAAAATCCGTGTTGCCCAGTGACAGCCCCAAAACATTACTGCTCTAGAGGAGATCTGCATGGAGGAATGGGCCAAAATACCAGCAACAGTGTGTGAAAACCTTGTGAAGACTTACAGAAAACGTTTGACCTCTGTCATTACAAACAAACGGTATTTAACAAAGTATTGAGATGAAATTTTGTTATTGACCAAATACTTATTTTCCACCATAATTTGCAAATAAATTCTTTAAAATCCTACAATGTGATTTTCTGGATTTTTTTTTTCTCATTTTGTCTCTCATAGTTGAGGTATACCTATGATGAAAATTACAGGCCTCTCTCATCTTTTTAAGTGGGAGAACTTGCACAATTGGTGGCTGACTAAATACTTTTTTTCCCCACTGTACATTTTGCTTGACTGATGGATCACACGCATGCTGATCCTTTCCATCACTCTGACTGGGCCTCCATTGTTATGCTGAGTCTTTAGCATGTGTTTGTTCTTTTATTGTTTTTTTTCTTCTACTTCCCCCCCCCCCCCTAAAAGTACTATACAAAGTAAATGTATCTTATTATTTATTAATAATAAAACATTGCCACTGCCTATTGGCTACTTTCCAGAGCACTGTACATGTTGAGCAAAGTCAAAAATAAATTTTGACAAGATTTTGACTATAAAATGACCAGATTAATAAGTATATTAATAACCTTATAAAGCTAAAATGTAAAAATCTATCATTTATCACTACAGGTTTTCTCCTTCAAGACAGAGGACAAACTATTTTTTCTGCATCGCCTCAAAAATGCATGACCTGCAGCTCTATTAAGCAAAAAAGGAGATTGCTATCAATCAGTCACGCATATATTCTTACAGTGACCGATCCACTGCAAGCTTCCAGAGAACCAGTACTACAAAAAAGAGAAGAGAGGGGTCATCCAGAGCACCTTGAGGAAGGTCTGGTCATCACTCAGAAAAATGTTCCCCTAGCAGATAGACAAGCAAAAATCAATGCAGGCTCTCACATCCATGTTGAATCCATATTTTGGATGCTGCTGGAGTCTGTGCCAGGCTTTCTTAAGAAGCTTAACCAAGACTTTTCTGGATTTTTTCAGTTAATGAGTTTCCCCATCTACGTTTTCTTGGTAAACAGCAGCAGTGCTGGTCAACCAGCATTTAAATGTATATAAAACACCCTAGACCAGGATGGAAAGTGTTTGTAGTCACTGCAGCT